ACTATAGTGCTCTTGAGATCAGTGTGTTTCATATATTTCTACTAACAGTTTTGCAAAGAGTTAGTTAAACATTTACATCGTCTTATCTTTATAGTTAAATACAGATTTTAGAATTTTTCTGAGATGTGGTTATTACTGGTAACGCCCTCTGTTCATTACTAGAACAATTGTATTTAGAGGTGTCCTAGAGCAAATAGGTGTTTTTTAAGATGAGAATTATACCTACATAACTGAATATTTTTTCAAATTTAAAGTGTTAAATAGAAAAAGAGACCTTAGAGATTCTAAATGTCCGACGGAGAAGTTTATAATTATAATAATTATGGTGGCACAAGCCAAAAATTTCCTTAGCTATGCCCATCACAGGCGAGCTTACCCTATATAATGTACTATATAATACACTGATCAATACAAAGTCATAGACTCATGAATGTACAAGGAACAATTGTTTATTGTATTAATAAGTTGATCTTCAATGTTTCAACTTTTCATTAAGAGATCATGGATGAGCCAAGTCTCTCAAATGACAGGAAGTAATTAAGTGATCTTATATTGATGCAAGTATAGATATAATGAAACACAATTTAACTACTGAAATGACAAAATGTAGTTAAGTGCATAAATGCAAATTTAAATATGTTTTAAGATCACACAGTGGGTTCGACTTTGTGACAGAGTAGTTACTATTACTGTTGAGAGAAATTTTTTTTAATTTTTTTTTTTGCCAATCCGTGACGGTTAACTTGAACTCGTCAGCTACATATAAGAATGGGAATGTCAAGATTCATCTCCCAGCGCCACCATGAAATAAAAATCAACCTACCAAGGTGGGAATCGAACAGGTCACTCTGGGGACCACGTCTCTAGGTAAGGTTTCATATCAAACAAAAAAAAAATATTAAAAATCAATCTAAATATCTTTTTCAAATTTTTGTTAGTGAGGCTAGTCTGGGTATTTGAGTTCAGAGAGCACATTCACACCATATTTACAAAATAAAAAATAAATAAGGTAATTTCAAAATAATATACAGCGAAATAAGAACACAATAAAATATAATGAGAGAAGAATATATAAATAATAGTAATAATAAAATAAAATAAAATAGAATTAAAATGTTAAAAAAAGTAATAAAAATAAACATCATAGAGGCAGGCATACCTATTTACACTATTTACAATGGGCCATGAGAACTCCAAAACAGACTTGTGGGGAGAAAGCGAGGCTTCAGGAGATCCCTGCGGATAATCTTGTAAATTAAATTTAGAATCTTAAAAATTAATAGACACGAATATTTCTCGTCTCATTTTTTAACCAAATAATTAAAACAATACTACCAATACGTCGTCGATGTTTCTTGTTTGAATTCAACGATCCGGGAAATTATTGCAATTTATTTTCCTATATAAATATATTTTCCTTTCAATAACTTTTAAAATTATTTATTTAATAATTTTTATCAGTGCTTTAAGATTTATCTTTAAGAATGTATGTAATAAAAATGTTAAGAATTATAAAGCTTATGCAGCATTTTCAAATAAATACCTAAAGAATACAGTGAAAATATATCTACATAGAGTTTATGGAGGCAGTAAGTGAAATAATAATAACAAAGTAATCAGTAAATTAATGAACTAGAAAAAGTAACCTTGCCAACCGACTACCTTTCAAAACTTTGTTTATATAATTCTTTGTTTTTTTTATTTCATAATTATCTGCGTGGGCGATACCTAGCAGGAAGGCAGTTATCGATAATTAGTGCTTAGAGGTATACAAATAATTAAATGAAAAAAAAATAGAAATATCAACATAATTTCTTCCTTTCATACATAAATGTTTAATGCAGCTATATCCCTCCAGTCGGAGAATTAGTAACTCGTTTAACCAGTTGGCTTAGAGAGAGTTCGTACTTTATTTATGACTAGTTATGACTTGGAAAAAAATACTTCGTAATTATGGGGAATTTATTATTTTATAAACTAGGGCAAAAATGACTAGTAACTACTGGTAATTTTGTAATTAAAATTATGAAATAATGTTTAATACCGCAGTTTAAAAGTCTTTAAAACGACAAACATGGCAATACCCCTATGAAGAAAAATATTCCATTAGTATACCAGTGTAAATATTTTTTTTTTTACTATCCTACCTATACTAGGTAAGGAAAGTATTGCAATCGGGTCAAATTTCCGATATGCGGTTTTCGACGGATCTATTCGTTTCAGAGCCCCCAGAAACTATATAAAAAATTCCCTAAAAACTATATAAAAATCGTACATTTTGGAAAACTAATAACGAAGTTACAGCTATTCAATTTCTAATGTAAGATTACGAGTTCATATCCTGGTTTCAGAAAGGGGTGAATGAGAGAATAAAGATGACTAAGTGAAAGAAAGAAAATCTGTTGCCCGCATCACACAATCTTCACTATTTACTCTATTTTATTCAGAAATTATTGTTTGACAATACTAAGCTATGGCAAAAAGTTTTTGATCAGCAATATTAGAGAGTATTGAAATTTTTACACTGATCTACCTTAAGCAGGTTTACATTGATTTAGTCTAGCGAATAAATCGTACTCAAAACGTTTCTTTGACTAATTTTCTGGGAAATAAATCTAATTAAATTTTTTTTTGGTTATTTGATGGATATGTGTATGGACATATTAAAACTTTTCTAAAATAGGTAGGAAAGTCATGTGAGTTCTATATCTTCATCACATCTTATATTTGTTTTCTGTTGGCATTACTGACCATGTACACCTTTAGCCGTCTTAACAAGCCTGCTACATTTCTTCCTGTCTTGGGCTATTTCTTTCTGCTTGCTGCTGTGTTTATTCATTCATTTTTTTTTTTTTTTTTTGTTCTTCCCTACCTCGCGTTTTAGGCTATACGGGATTTTCCCGGGCCGGGGGTGAGGGCGGGGAAATTTAAAATCCCCTCCGGCACCAGGACGCGAACTCGTACTTTCATCTCAAATCTCTGTTATCCGATTGCCAAGCAACTAGCGGTGCGGTTACACACGCTTTACCCTATTCGGCCACCCCGTCCCCATTATTGAAACTATCCATCTGCTTTTTGACTTTCTATCTGGTCTGCTGCCTTCTAATCATGCATTCATTGTTACGTAGATGGATTGCTACGAGCTAAATCCCTCACCCATCTTAACCTCCTTGCATTCATATCATGGGATATTGATGATATGGTCTTTCTTCTTCATGTTTCAGTTCTCTGATCTCAGATTGCTCCAGTTATCGTGCGGAGAATTTTTTCCTCAAACCTTTCAACACTTTTTTCTAGGATGTTGGTTAGTGTCCAGGTCCCACAGTCACATATTAGAACTGGCTTTATCATACACTTTACTTTATCATTGTACACGTTGTTGAGGGAGAAACGCGGGAATCTCCTGAGACCTCGCTTTTCCCTTCCTTTGTGGTCTGGTTAGGAGTTTCCATGACCGATTGTAAATAGTATAAATAGGTAAGCCTGCGACTAAGATGTTTATTTTTATTACATTTTTTTAAAGAACATTTTAATTATATTTTATTTATTTATTTTAATTTTATTATTAATATTATTTATATTATTTTGAAATTACCTTATTCATTTTTTGATTTTGTAAATATGGTGTGAATGGTGTGAACTGTATTATAAATGTCCTTTATTGAGACAGATTGTAATATTTATCAATAAACAATTAATCCAAAGTAAAGTACACGTTTATTTAATTTATTTTTAAGAAATTGAGCTTAGTAAATTTAATCAGTGTTTAATAAAAAAATCATTGTCTACTTTACGTTGACGTACTTAGAGTTTAATTATCTTAAATGTATGTATGTATGTATGTATTTGTATTTTAATTCCTTTGTTGTCCGTTTCACTGCATTATGGAATTCCATACCACTAAAAATCCGTTATGAACTATCCTTATCCACATTTAAAACCCTCTTATTCCAATTCCTCTATACAATTCAATCAGATGCTGGCTAAGTACATACTATGTAACAAGATTGTATTTTTTGAAGTGTATTTTATTTTATTTAGCCATAGTTAAATCACAATACTTGTCTAGTTTTTCACAATATCTGCATGTGTTTTCACTTAAAAGTCTTAAGGAACATATATAAATCATTTATATACTCTAGTTATTTTATTTTTGGTTTATTATTTTCAATAATGAACCATTGTGATAGACCAAATAACTTAACCCCCTCTCAGAATATGAGGTTTCACGTTTCAGGAGGCGTAGAATTCGAAAAGCGAATAAAAAAAATTGTATCCGTCCGCCGTCCGCGCATATTCTTCAATGAAACTTCGCTTAAGTCATTTTCTCGACGCCCTTTAAATGTATCTATATAACATACTTCAACGAAAAGAAGCTGGGAAAAAGTTACGAGGGATGGTAAAATTAGATTCCGAATAACTCAAAAAGTTTAAACTTTTTTGTTGATATTGTATGCTGAAGTAATGCTATTTTTTCTTCATATTACTAATGATTAAAAAAAAAGTTTAGTCTAATAATTGGAATCATATTTTATTTATTGTTCTTTGTAACTAGGAAGGTAATATTACTTTAGATGTAACTTGTTTGGAAATAATAAACCATTGTGAAGTAATTTGCAGCATTTTTAAAATATTTTATCACTAATATTGGTTACCTATAACACTTATTTTGCGTTTATTTCCAATTCTATTTAGTTATTAGTATGTTTTTGTTTTTTTGTACCAATATTATAATACTGTAATCCTTGTAGTCATCTACTTTCTTTAATATACCCTCCAAAAATATACTCATTTTACTACTTAGATTTTAGATACTATTCATTATAATAGGTTATCAGGCCAGATTCATTGTCTATTGGGTTTGAACAATATTGTTATTCTTAAGGTATCTAGTCCCTGAATAAAGATGTTTTTCTATTACATACATGTATCCCATACATAGTTATGTATAAAATATTAATATTATCGACAGAACTGATATAAAAATTGTACTGTTGCAGTTGGTACTGGTGGTTATGGCTCTTGGTACATCGGCCATCAGAGTACCTACAGGGAAGGAACCGTACCTGAGTCCAGGTCTTGGGTTCCATTCCTTCCCACGATACTCTTCTCTGGCAGGGTACTCCTCTATCGCAGTACCTCCGACTTCCTACCAGAGTTTTGTCAACATCGTCCACCGTAATCCTCCGGTCATCAGGACACTACCAGTGATCGCTCATGGCCATCTTCCAGCTCCTTACTATAGTCTTCCATATCACTGAACGTGTATTCAAGAAGAATTCTTTCATTTTGTATTAATTTTGTTATTGTAAATAAATATTTTGGTAAATAAATTATGTTGTTCTTTAGAAACATTAAAAAAAAATTAATATGTTTCTAAGGAACGTATAGTTGTTTTATTTCTCATAAAAACTACTAGTCTGCGGTACAGACCCCATCAAATTATTAACATCCCGCTGAAACTTCGTAAATTGTTTCATCTCATCGTAACCTCAAAATATTTTATTTACGAAATTTTCGGTTAGTAATAAGTTAAAAATATATAAATATAATTATAATTATATATGCATATAAATATAAAAAATAATTAACAATTAAAACTAAAAATGTGTAATTGCTGAAGGCAGAATTAATTTTCAGAGAAAATTTCTTTTATCGTACTATGTAAAGATGTGTCTCAATCAAGGAAAAAAAAAGTTACATAAAAAGAGATGAATTAAAAAACAAACCATTCACTCTATTTTTATAAACTTTTTTTAAATAAACAGTTTTGATACTTGAATTCATGAGGTAAAAGCATTTCATTATAAAAGTGTTTCATCTGATGCGATTTAACTGTTTTTACAGGAAAATTAAAAAAAACAATAAATAAAAAATTGAAAACAAATTTAACTGTAAATTCACGTCTCATATAAAGCTGGAGAATTAATTCGATAGAAAACGCAAATATCAGGATATATCAGCTCGATTTAAAAAATCATTTCGTTTTATAACATTATAATACCAATAGGAACGGAGCAGTTACCTAAATTGTCAATAAATCTGAAAAAAATTGAATTAAGTCTCTAAAAGTTAAAATATAATTTAATTGTACACACAATCCCATGAATATCGTTCGCAGTTATTATTACACCGTGGTACAGATCAATTTTTAGCGAATTATTAACATCCCCCTGAAACTTCGTAAATAGTTTTACCTCATCGTAACCTACAACTATTTTATTTACGAAAACTCTTGGAATTGGGACGTTATTAATCTGGAGTGGGCCGAACATTTGTATATTGAATTAGGTACTACAAAACTCATAAATACTCAAATGCTTTCTACTTGGATCGTAATTTGATCACGAAATCGGAGGAAAAAGTGGCCTTCAATAATATTGAGCTGTTTGGTGTGACCTACACCTCCAAATTATCAAAATAAAGAGGTCATATAGGACAAACGGCCCAATATTTTTGTATGCCACCTTTTTTATCGATTTTGTGATTAAATTACGTTACGATCCAAGTAGAAAGCAAATGGGTATTTACGAGTTTTTAGTATCTAATTAAATAGACAAGGGCCTGTACCACGGACTATAAATGTAAGTTTTATGGATTGTGAATAGTAGGAACACTAGTTGGTCCAATATAGATTTTCTCAAACTTTGTAGATTTGTTTATCCCTTCGGCATCGGTTTTTCCCTAACAAGACTAATTTATTACACACCTCCGGCTTTTACTTCAGAATAACGAACTATAAAATTTAAAATGTAAGTAGGTAATTATGTAACTATGTTATATAATATTACTAATAATAAAAAAAGTCTTAGAAAACCCGAAGGTTCGATCAGGACACCACCAATCGCTTATTACACACCTCCCTCTACTGTTAGCATTCCAAACCCTTCAGATCGGCTTTAGCGCAATCTTCCCACCTTCGCTTCGGTCTACCCCTCGAATGTTTACCATTAGGTACAGCAAATATTAACATTTTAGGGATTCTTTCGTAAGAAAATAAACCCATGTAATAAATGTAATAAACTCAACCGTTTTACACGACTATTTTGTCCGCTGATAAGTAATCACCACAAATATAATATTACTATATTATATAACATACTGTATGAAAAATAACGATAGTAAAGTGTAAATGTAACATTTTTACATATTTATTCACTTTGGGTTGAAGGTGACAGTTTGTAACCAGCAACTGCCATAAGTAGTCTGTTACTTAGGAATATAGCAGAGGAAAATAATATATGAAATTTTACAAATAAAAAATAAATAAATAATTGGTTTGAATGTTTTTCTGTAAAAAAATACATACATAAAAAAAGTTTAAGTACGTAGAACCTTTGGCAAAATAGTAGTGAAATGATATGTATTATATAACAATTTGCCCAACTTTCCAGCCTTTTTGTTTTTCAATTTTTAAGAACATATTTACTAATAAAAACATCACTTGAATTCAAAACTATTTGATGAAGGATCTAGTAGGCGAGGGAATTAAGAAGATAGAGGGAAGCATATTTAAACAAATCATTGATAAAACGCTAAATAATGTGAAAATGGATTTGAACTCAATTAGATCCATCCCTAACCTCAAAATACCTAACTGGAAGAACAGTAGACCGACTATAGATCTATCAATGACAAGACATAACAAAGAATACCCATTGAAAATTCAAAATTACTTTTTTGAATTATTGGAGAAATACAAAGGTTTTAATGTGATATATACCGATGCCTCCAAAATGGAAAATAATGTTGGCTGCGCTGTATATATTAATAACAACCAGCACCAACTTCTGTTTAGTTTACCTGGAGAGAGCTCCATATTTACTGGAGAAGCTACTGCGATGAAGGCCCTCCATTGGATATCAAATTCCAATGACAATCAATGGATGATAGCATCAGATTCTAAAGCGTCATAACAGCAATAGGTAACCCATGGCCAAGCAATTCTATAATAAGGGATATATTGAATCTATGGTGGGAATTAAATGAAAGAACGGTCAGAGTGGTATCTGTCTGGGTTCCATCTCATAGTGGTATCTCAGGCAATGAAAGAGCAGACCATGCAGCTAACTTAGCAAGGAAGGGAGTGGCACCAACCATAATTTCAATAAATCATACCACAGCAGAAGACTGGGTACACGCAACAGAAAAGAAGTTGTTGGAAAATTGGGCAAATAGATGGAAAAATAGACAGTCAAAATTAATGGAAAATAAAAACAGACTGCAACAAGTGGGCTAGTAGCACAAGAATATCCAGAAGAGAAGAAACAATATTGTGCAGAATAAGAATAGGCCACTGCCTGTTTACTCACGGGTACCTTCTCAGAGGTCTGGAACCACCCACGTGCCAAAAGTGTGACAATATACCGCAGTCAGTAAAACATCTGTTAGTAGAGTGCCACGAGTTCAACAATATTCGGCCAAAATGGAAACTACGAATGATAATGAAAGAAATATTAAGAGACAACGAAGATGGAGTCAACACTCTATTCCGGTACTTAATAGAGACGAAATATTACAATAGAATATAGAAAACTAGCCGCCAATGACCCTCTAGGGTAGAGGCGATTAAAAAAAAAAGAAAAAAAAAGGAAGATCATTGTTATTTTTTTATTCTTGAGGATGTTCATAATACAAAACTTTTATGAATAGCTAGTTAACATATGTTCACTTTGGCTTAATGACACTGAAAAATTCGCCATCATCTGAACATTTTAAACTCAATAGCAATTTAATGATAACTATTTTCATTGTGAAAATGGTTATCAGAGACCGATAAAAAAGGCAAAGTTAAAAACGAGAGGGTTTGGATGGTTCAGAAGTTCATCATGGAAGGATAGGATCTGGATTGAGCTAAATCGGAAACATATGGAACAGTTAAGGTCGCCATAGATGATTTTATTTGTGACAAATTATTTGATTCCATTATTTGTGTTTGAAATAGTAAACATAAATGTAACAATATTTTTAATTTGATTCTGATAAATTTAATTTCCATTCAATTGTTTTTATCAATATGGCTGAATATGAGCACCATTGTTGTCATCAAGGGCATGAACGCCAAAACTATTAGATTTTTAAGTATTTTTTTTTTTTAGCCGATATTTGGACAAGCGTCTTACTTGGAATCCTCAAACAACACTAAAACGACAAGAAACCGCTCGACGTTTCTGACAATTATTAAAAACCCGCATCGAATTCCTTTCGTAAGTAATCCATACAATCCGAAATACTTCGTAAAATCCTCAATGCTCCTTACTTTGTCACAAATAAAGTCACCCATAACTACCTTAATCTTCCGTATGTTTCCAATTTGGCTCAACCAAGATAATTATTGTTACATAATAAACTTCAGAACCATCCAAACCCTCTCGTTTCTAACTTTCCCTTCGATCCCTGATAACCTTCCAAGGTGTCTGAAAAGAACATGGCTTTGAATTTTTAAAGAAAAAATCTTTGATTTTTTATGTGTAAAAAGTTAAATATTGATGTTAATTTATTTTTCTTGGTATTGTCTTGTAGAACTATATCTTGTATTACCAAGAAATATTTCAAATCCATGAAACATTAATTTAAACTTTAAAAACTTGAAAATTAGGAGAATAGTTTTGTTGTACCAGTAGCAAAAATTGTGTGATTTTTAATGTTCCTATAGCTGTCAGAGAAAAGAAAAAGTATGTAATTAAGGGAAATAAATGTGGTCGAATGTAACCGAAAATAAATTAATAAAATAAAGGGACGTTTCCTCTTGTTAAGTTAAGGGTGACGTTTCCTCTTGGGTATCGTCAAATAGGAATAACCGCAGAGAGGAAGTAATTCTTACGCGCCTGCGTATAGGTCATACAGGCCTTACCCATGGATACCTGATGGTCCATGATTCTTCGCCAACATGCCAAACCTGTGGGACTCCTCTGACAGTGAAACATATTTTGACAGAATGGAGAGTTTACAAAACATTTATACTTTCTTGTGACTTGACAAACGATTTACACTCCATTTTACAGGATAATACAACTGAGGTTGATAAACTATTTTCTTTTATGGAACGTTCTAAGCTTGAAAATAAAATCTAATTATCAGTAAAAATAAGGCATTAATGATCCAAGTGGTTGAAGTCTTAATATATATATATAAAGAGAAATAAATGGCGGTGACTATCAAGGACCTGTTTTTGGCAATGAGAAAACCTATCTTTGCTTTATATTCCAAGCAATCCAAATCATCAGATTTTTTTGTAACGCATCAAGCAAATGTGTTGGAATTT